AAGTAAAGTTGTCCGTATTAGTAATCAAAGTATTTTGATACGTTAACTCTGTGCAAAAAAATCCACGGGTTAGACAAAAATTGTGAAGCTGTTTTTTCCAAATTTAGAGCCATATTATTTTCTTTACACTAATTCGAGAGTACGTGTAGGGCCTTATTTAATCGATTTTCAATAAGCGTTTTTGCACCATGTTTTGGAGCTTCGTTCTAGATTACCAAATCATCAGAAAATAGAAGACAATTCATACCAGGTGCTGATTCAAGAGCACAAACTAGATCATTGATATATACACTTAAGAGCCATTACATTATGACCATCTTCTATCTATCACAATGCGTTCTCCCAGGAACAAAAATCACTGCTAGTGCGTAGTGCATGTTGGAGGATATAAAGCGGCCATGCATGGTCTTTCCAAATAGCGCAATTATCGATAAAATGAGAAAAGCAGCTGATTTATCAGACTTTGATAAAGCTATATCGTTATGGCTCGGCAACTGGGACCCTCAAAATCAGAAACAGCACGTTTATTCGACTGTTCGCATGCAGTTGTTGTCAGCCCATATCGGAAGCTGTGTATGCATAGTGAAACTACTAGTCGCCGGCCAGCAGTGCATCGCAAATGACGCATTGAGTCCAGAGGAAAGGGGAGATTGCTACGCAATGTTCGCTGCAACAGCCGAAATCACCACCAGATACAACAGTGGCGGCCCAGACAGTGTTTCTCAACACACTGTGCAGCGTACTTTACTGCTTATGGGCCTATGCAGCCGAGGCGGAGCATGTCCCTGCACTAACGGCGCGTCATCGTAAGATGCGTCCGCAATGAGCCAAGAAACACTGGAATTGGGCATTAGAAGAATAAAAGAAAGTTGCATTGTCCGACGAATCACACTTTCTAGTGTGTGCTAATTACGCCGATTTCCAAACGAAACCCAGGCTTCCAGATGCACATTTGGACAGAGACAAACCGGTTGCAGAGGTTTTATGGTGTGGACAAAGTTTTTATGAAGCATATTAGGATCCATAATCCCCATAGAACAATCCCTGACGTCTTTGCGGTGCTATGTGAATATCCTTGCAGACCAGGTTCACTCATTCATGGCACCAGTATTTCCGGCGGGAGATGGTGTTTACTAACAGGGTAATGCATCCTGTCATAAGGGTCGAATCGTCAGGGAGTAGTTCGAGGAACATTCCAGTGAATTTCAGGTCATGTCTTGGCCTCAAAAGTCACCTGACATTAATCCATTAGAGCATTTGTGATCCCACCTGGAAAACGGAATTCTTCTGCCACTCTACCCCCTCGCGATGTGCTGGAATTGCAGGGCCGGTTGGTGAGCGCTTGGTACCAGATACCTCAGACTACGTATCAGCACATTGTAGAGTCAATGCCAGGCCGGGTGGTGGCAGTTTTGAGGGCTATAGTTGGTCCTACATGTTATTAACAGGGTGGTCATAATGTAATGTTTCTTCGGTGTATATCAAACAAGGTTCAGCTACTAACTGCTCACCGAGGTAGGCCAGGTTGTAAATTAAAACATTTGGAGATGGAATCTTCAAACTTTACCCCGCATGTCCTCGGGCTTGTGAAAAAGCTAATCCAATTAAATAATTTTGGGGAAATACCAATACTCAGGAGCTTCTGGTATAAATTTTACCTCCAGACAGAATCATAAGCCTCCCTTAAAGTCAACATAAACAGCTGTCAATGTTGAAGTGAAAAATAAAGCGATGCGATGAAAAGGTATATATTTTACATATGTTTCTCTGTTTTGTTAAAATAGGATTATTCTAAAGGAGAGTGATTGGTATTAAATAAAGGAATCTGTGTCTTTGACCTGTATTTACGAATATTCATATAATTTAGGTACATTATATGAACTTATATAATGAGACGTTCGTTACTAAAAATTATTTTTTAGAAAGTTAAGAAGAGTTTATTCGAATAATATTTTCTTAATATAATTATATTTCTTTTTGCAATTAGTGTGCTATATTTTTTAATAAATGAAGTAAAATTATCAATTCAGTTTTAAATACGTGATCCAGAATATTGGGAAGTAATAAATTAAATATCATTTATAGATATTTATTGATGAAGAGCGAAAAAAGTTTGTTAAATCTTATATCAAACACAAAAATGAAATTTAACATTAGGCAAACCAGCAAACTTGTTTTTGTGTAGGTTTTGAATGAAACTGTATCGACATTAAACTGTTGGCGAAAATTTGTTCTTGCTCCTGAAGAAGAGGTACCTGTGTCTGAGTGCCCTCGAAATCGCGAGTATTGTATTAAAACTGGGGCAAAATAAGATTGTCTTTTTCAATAATTTTACCTTCAAGTGTTTCTCTTCCATTTTATTACTTGAGAAAGTAAAAGTTTTCTAAAAAAAATTTAGACTAACAAGTTTCATCTTCTCTACTTTTCATTATATTTTTCGCAATATTTTATACATACCTTTATACCTATTTAAAAATTTTCAATATATTCTTTCGTCTTTGTTGTTTTACAATATATTATATTCACTGATTTATTGAATGATGAAGCATTTAAATGATATTTAAAATGTAGCAAGTGATTGCAATATGCATTTGTATTTATAAATAACTTTTTTTTAAATTTGAAATTTAAAATTTATATAGCCTTTTATATCACTCATGAGTCACTTGTATCGTATTAGCATTCAGTGCCATCCATCATTTAAATAACATAGTTTACCCAGCTAATGTTTTAATGAGTGTTCAATAGGTTGTCTTTATATTTTTTTTTTTTTTTACTTTACAAGAACTAGCATATTTTGTGATCACACTTTTTATTTCACAGGTTGATTAATATTTAGTATCTTATTATATTTATGTAGGATTTTAAAAAATTTTTATAGGAAGGTGTTTTAAAATAAAATTTGTGTTTAAATATGTATTTATTGTAAATACTATACCATCAAATTTTAAAGCTTTCAGTACTGTTCTTTCCGATTTGGCATGACTTCCATGCATTCATGTATCATTCATTTTTAAGTGTCACACACTTTTGAATCCGTCTTACACGTGATTGGCATGATGGGTTGATCCAATATTAATGTCCAATACCGTACATAATTCTTATTCGACGATGTTCTTGTACAGATTTCAGTCCTTTGCAAACAAAGATCTGGCAATATATCCTTGCTACCCACTGATGTACAGATGCAAAGGAACTGCCGTCTTGTGTGTGTGACGTTTCGTCAGAAGGCATTGCAAGAGTCTACGGTTATTGAATGATTTTTGGTAAGTTAAGGTAATAAATTTAACAGAGAATTGAAGCTCTGATTTATCACATTAATTCTTTCGCAAATGAGCAACTCTTCGCCGTGGATGCTCTAGTTTAACAAAATAAACTTACATATGCTAGCATATCTTTTTAAATTTGTTTTTTTTTTAAAGAAAAATATAATTTAATTTAGCAGCTAATCATGGTTCAGAAACAAACGAAAGCTGAATATGAGCTTTGCCGTAGTATTTCTCTCTCAAATGAAGTATTCTGTGTATGCGAAAATATTTTTAAAGCGTACAATCTAACTAATTTATGTACTCGAATGGATCAAAGCAAATCTTTTATTCTCCTTTAAAACTTTTATATTACGTTTACAAACTCAAGCCACATAAAATAATCATCTGAACATTTCATTATGTTTATCGATTCTATACTGGAAAAATGTGGCTTCAGATAAATTATTATAGATTCTCCTATTTTTAGAGAGTCGGCTCTTCTATAGTCTCACTTTTAAAGAAATCGTCTCTTTGATGTTTCCTTCATTTTTGGTATATTTTGGTTGACTTTTTTTGTAATAAAGATTCATAACACAGTCTTCTTTCTTTTTTCCGTCTTCATTTGCCTTCGGAAAGTTTTTGACCCTAAATTAAAAGCAGGTGAATTTTATAAAACTGACTATGTACTTTAGGAATGCTATTGTAGTTTAATTCCAAACACCAATGAGTATTGATTTTGATAATTTAATAAAGTTTTTGCAAGCGGCAAGCTTTTTCATGACTACTACTTTCAAAATATATTATTATTACATTTATCCTGCAACTATTATAAAACATTTAGCAAACCTCATCAAAAGAATGAAAGAATGTCTTATATATTTTTGAAAACGCAGTAATTTAAAAGAAATAAAAAACTGGTATTTGCGTAAAATACAATAACTGTAATTAAAAATGTAATATGCTTCTAGTCACAACAGTTGTGTACAGTTAATAACTATGATCTATGAATATTGCTTTTTGTAATGGAAATAGGAGAAAAAATATAAAGTATGCTTATTTATGCATCTGAAAGAAAAAGGACCAAACTAAGTTGAATTAGGAACAGAGGAAACGGCTCTTCAAACAACTCCAATTAGCTTGCAGAGACATTAGGTATTTTGGAAGCAAGACACTTGAAAAATGAGCAAATCCTTCGCCAGGAATCGAACCACGGACCTCTTGAATACGCGCCCTGCGTGCAGACCACTACACCCCGAAGGCACGCTAAAAAGGCGGAAAAAATACTTCATAAGCTGTTTTAACCTAATGAAGCTAAACGTATGAATAATATACCAGTTTTAAATATTTGACCACATTAAAATAATTCCAGCATACCTCAATCCCTTTTATAAAGCGATTATTCTTAAAATAAAAATAACTTCAGTGGAAAACTGTCCTACAAAAATATCCTATTAAACAACAGTTTAATACTTCATAGGAAGTTATAACTATCGAAAATCTATTCTTCGTAATTTTTCCTCTTAACTGCATGTTTTGTTTAATATTTAAAAATGTGTTGCGCCTAAAATAAGATTAAATATAGTTACGATATTGCTAAACTTCTGTCTAAATTAAAGTTTAAATGGGTCACTTTAAAAACAAGTTAAAGAAGAGTTAGAAGTAAAGAGGCGAAGAAGTTAAAATGCTTTTTTACTTTAAATACACTCTGTTTTTAAAATGTTTGAAATGGTAAATGAAATAAATTGAGGATCATTTAAGCAGGTAAGAATTTCTTTATTTTCATTTTGATTAATCATGTATACATTTTGTTGCGCGTAAAGAAAAGTAGTTGGCAAATTAGCGGCCAGTTTTTGAGCAGTCTCTTATCACACTTCAAAGAAGACTCGCAAACGTTGGCAGTGCACTTGAATCGCATTGGAGGAGATGTTTCCATGGTACAAAATAATTCTTCAAGAGAGATGGATTTGAAAATATCTCTATCCAATATCGCCTTAAGGAATTAAATACTTCGGTTTTTTTGGAGTATCAGGTATAAAACACCTGGAACATACAACCATATACTGGTTACGGATCTTAAAGGATAGCTAAATTTTACAGCTTTTCCTTTAATAACCTACGAGACTTTACGATCCGAAGCTCTGAAATTTATGAAATTAGGTTGGTCCCTTTATGGATTAATAACTTTTTAAACGTCAGTTGGATAGCCTTTGTAATTTGCTTCAAAAAAGTCGTCGGATAAGTCGGCAAGATGTCCGTGGAGGCTGCAATCGCTTGATTGAGTGTAATAATGAGGACTTCTAATGCCAGAACTTGGGCTGCGCTCTAATTGTCTCAGCTGCATGGCCAAAGCTTCCCTTTCCCTTTTTTTGCGCTTGCCACGGTAAAGGTAGTACCCAGTACAAACGCCTAGAATAAGAAGAACAAGGCCTCCTCCGCAGCCGGCTACAAGTGGTAAATGACCTAAATAAAAAAAAATATTGATTTACTAGCATTCATACACGTAAATCATAATTTACATATCTACATCAAATTCGAATTCTCGAAGTTCCTCATGTCTCTCTTGCCTTATTTATTGCTGAAATGCAAGCAAAAAATAAAACAAAACTTAACGAAGTAAATAAAATTGGTGAAAATATATGTTTTGATTGCCACTCCGAGAAATTCATGCAATTAAATATAACAAATTTACCCAGATGCAACCGGAGATTTCTAGCAAAACTATCTGCATAGTTATAAGGCCTACAATATCAAAAGCCAAATTACTCCATAATCAGTGCAACACAAGATAAACATTACTGAGATTACCTTACGTGGTTACCTTTCACGTGGTTATGTTACAGACGAAAGATTAACTTGTGTTATTCACGTTTAAATATCTTCCTTTTTATTTCAGAAGTCGAATTTCGGCACAGTACAACTTTTACTAGAGTGTGTGTAACATGAACGCGCATTAAATATGCTGCATTGTGGCACATGTGTAAATGCAGTCTTTCCACAGGATATGTCGAAACGGGCTTTTTGTTAGCTGTAAAGACACGTCAGTTCTTTTAAAAACATATTACACCGCTTTTAAAGGCATTTGTATACAACAACATTCGTTGGTAGTATAATGTGATATTTAGCTTTAAAATCGTCTTGAAATATGGCGTCTTGGTGTGGACCCTTTCATTGTCATCAATGAGCTAAGCTCGTATTACAGTTACTCACCGCAGTGGACGTAAATAAATACAACTCTCATTACAAATTTAAGACTGACAGATATGGCGCGAACGGGGAAGAAAGAATTGCCTAATCTCGCAATCGCCGAAGCAAGGTTTGTTTACGACTCAACGATAAAAACTCCTAATTTTAGTTTTAATACTGGTTTCACATATTGTAAGTCTTCTTCACTGAACCTGCTGCCACATATCAAAAAGTATGGTTAACAAGATTTCCTATTACCTTATAATTAACAAAACACATTTATGAAAAATGCGATGTTCTTAACAGTATCGAAACAAATCAAATTAGCACACTTTTCGTTTCGGTTTAGTTATACTTTTATTTGGAACGCCATATAATTCAATTACAAGGTGGCATTATGTTTCAGTTTCTCTAACAAATGCTTATTTAATTTTCGTTTCTCCTATTTTCCTCATTTCGTCACGAGGTCCCCTGATTCAGGACTTATGAAGACCTGTTTGGTAAGCAGTTTTACTTGCATGTTTGGGATGAAGAAGCAGCTTTATGCAAACAAGTTATGGTATAAAAGATTTGCAGTTAACGTTGTCATGTTTAAGACGATGTTTCCGGCTGCACGAATGACGGTTTCTTTAGTTGAACGTGCGTTATTGGTGAAGCTGTTTTACGAAAACAAGGGAAGTGCTTCTGCTGCAGCTTATGAATTTCGTCGTAGAAAGAACCTACGGCGTGGACCAATGTCTACTAAAAGTATCCGGGCCATGATTAAGAGATTCGAAGAGACTGGGAAATTAGGAGTTCAACCTGCAAGAGGCCATAAACGTGTCAACCAGTACTTGTTGATGCCGTCAAGACAGCTGTTGACGCACATTCACAGACATCAGAGTTTGGGGCTGTAGCGCGCGTACAGTTTCTCGACAGACAGGCTATTCTTACAGCACCGTCCGAAAAGTACTCAGAAGCATAATGCTCTACTTCCCATACACGATCCGCCGTACCCAGGAGCTGCTTGATAGGGACAGGCCACAACGTCTCTCATTCGCAGTCAGTTTTCTCAACAGAATGACTGTTGATCTGTCATAGCCTTGAAATATTCTGTGGAGCGACGAGGTTCATTTCTACCTCAGTGGGACAGTCGACATACAGAATTACCGCATTTGGGCTAAGGAAAATCCGCAGATCCACACTGAAATTCCCCTGCAGTCTCCAAAGGTCACTGTCTGATGTGGATTCACGGCGACATTCATCGTTGGACCTTTCTCCTTTGAGGAAATCTGTGAAGAACGTGGGCCTGTCACATGTTCCGTTACGGGCCGTCGGTACCATGACATGCTGCAGAGGTTTGTTGTGCCGCAACTACAGCAAAGGCGGTTCCTTACATCGACCATTTTCAACCAGGATGGTACGCCTCCACATATTCATTGTTCCGTGAAGGCGCTATTCCTCCAACACTTCACATAGGAACGTGTTATTACTCGCTCCTCTCCTATTAAATGGCCACCACGTTTGTTGGACCTAACTCAGTGCGAAATGTTGAATGACTTAAAGAAGTCCATAACGCTTCATGTTCATAGCCTCACAACTTATCAGTTACGATCTGCTATTGAACACACTATCCATCGACTTGAAATTTTGCAGGTGAATGAGGGTGGTCACGTGGAGCAGCTTTCCCTACATCGTCCTGGGCACGATTAACACCTGCTCCTCTTGTTCAATTTCGTCCTAATCTGTTCTTGTTTCTGAAAACTGAACTCTTTTTGCATCTCCCTTACCTTTACTTAATGCGGTTCGATGACAAGATGATCAGAAACTAGTCAATAAATGTTAATACTGTTTTCTGTATTCCGGTTTGGTCGTTTATTGTGTTAAATTTCATGTTTTGCTGAAAAGGCGCCCTCTGGTGGACATTTTAGAACTAAATTTGTTTTTCGAAATTCAGTGAGCACATCTCGTGTATAGCTCATATACAAAGTTTCGTTGCATTCCGTTCACCCGTTTGCGCTGTGGGATGCCGTTTATAGGGAAAGTTTAATTATAACCACTCTCTCTCTCTCTCTCTCTTTATATATATATATATAATATTACAAACGTTTTTTCACTGACTTAAAAAAATCTGCGAATTGGAATCTATAGTAACCAACAGGAGTCCTTTGGAAAACTTGGTCAGATAATCTGTTAAGAAATAAGGCTGCGTAGGATAGGAATTTCAAAATTATGCTTTCTGGTTAATGAATTACATGACATAGTATATATTTCTTTGCGTACAAATTAAGTAACTATGTATTTATGAACCACAGCAAGAGTTATTTAGAATTTCTGTCCATTAACTCAGTTATTCGTATTATGCAACCTGCAACCTACATTATTCATTTTATTGGGATATTGTTCAATTTATCGGGTCACATACATTATTAATTTTACTTAGAGAAGGTAAATGTGACCCAAATCTCTCATATGTTTTATTTTGTGTCAAGGACACATAATTTAACTACAACTTTATAACTTCACAAAGCTCGCATAATTCATTCTCTTATTTGCTTAGCACGGAAGTGAGCTCAATAATTTTTACTGAATTTAACACTTAAATAACAGATTACTTAAATTTGTTGCACTAATATGTAGGTGCACCCTAATGGGCAAATTTGCTTAATGGTACTGGTACAGATATCTTCACAAGCATTAATAAATTGTATGTGGCATGGAAAGGTTCTCTATGTCTCGCTCTATATTTCGGAACGGAATTATGCTTTTTGTTGCAGAAATTTTCAAATTAATGTTGAGCTGATTGTAATAAGCTGTTGTTCTGGATTGGCTGAATGTTATAAAATCTTTTTTTCTATTTGACTCAAACTAAACTGCTTGGAAAAAAGAATGCTTAACTACTACAGGAGAACTTGTGATAATTTTGTTCTGTTGGTTATTATGCAAGTTACAGGTTTTCGGCGATTGTTTGCTTCTTTACGTTTACACTGTTACATTCTGAAACTACAAACGTTTTGGGGAAAAAGCGACAGAATTTGAGAGTAATTCAATTAAAAATAATAGTTTGAAAGTTAGCTAACATTCAGTAATTTTTTTATCTAATGATTAAAAAGAAATGCATAAGCAGAAACAGGTCACGAAATCTCGTTAGTTGATACAAAGAGTTGAAAGAAGTACGGAAAGGTTACATCCCTACGTCGAGGAAAATTAATTTATCACATGGCACCATCTAGTTACACTTCAAATTTGTAGAATATTCAAGATGCCAAAACTTTTAAAAAAGGCCTCAAATCATAGAGATGAGAAATAAAAATCTCACAGCAGGTTCAAATCCTGAGATTTTTTCTGCAAAGAGCGAGAAAGGTGATAACATTTTTACATTTGTGTATATAAATAACTATAATTAAATAAGAAATATTATATTGAATTCCTTGAAAAACTATGAATCAAAGAACACTACTGTATATATAGCTAATTAAAGTTAACCATTTCTCTTAGAGTGACTTTTTAAGATTAAAAATGTTTTCAATACATAAAAGTGTTCATTTGATAAATGCACATTTATATGAAACGGAGAATTTAAGCATTCCTTAAATTTAGGAGAGACGCTTCACTTCTTTTATTCAAGAAATAAGAACGAACCTAAATATTCGGACTACAGTTTGCCGATTTATGCATAAAATTCTTTGTAATAATTTTCTATACAATTTTAATACATTTCCATTTATTCAAATGGAAAAAGGCGCAAAATCCCTGTTATATTTTTAATATACTCTGCATTAAACTCCAAAATCTTCTTACACATAGCATACAATAGGCGTAGTCAGAGTAGGAGCAGTGTGTCTCTGCGATACTAATTCATTTTTTATGTATTAAAACCCGGTACAAGTCACTGAAAAATTAAAACATGAACTAAAATGCTATTTCTTTATACAGTATGCCGTTTTACTAGTTATGTGTTTAAATTTATTATCTTAGATGTACTGTCCAAGAATTAAAATAAAAAACAAAAATGCAAAATATTCGAATTTACAATGTATAAATAGATATTAATTTTTTATTTAAAGTAAGAAAATGTATTCTTAAAATAAGAAATAGAAAGATTAAAATTCAATAAAATGACCTTAAAACATCTATAGAATTTTAAGAAAATTTTACAGCTATCCGTGAGAAAGCGCATTTCACAGATGACATTATAATTCTGAAGAAGAGAAGTTTTGCACACATTTCGCAACCATATTTTGTTGATTGTTCCTTTTATTTTCCTTACTATGTTCGCAACGTTATCTTTTTCTGGA